ATCGGCCTTATATCTTGTTTAGCCCATCGTTTGTTAACCTTAAATTGATCTAATCTACACCTTAAACGATGAGTTATGTTTTATCGGCTGTTTTATGTCAATCCTAATAATGCATAGCGTGCGGTTAAGGCGTGTTGCGTCTTGAGTAGATTTATTGGCTAGCGACAACCGTTCCATGACCCGTTATCATGGCATGTGTGATTCTACCTCACACCCCACTGTTAGCACCGTGGAGTGAGGATCGTTATTTAATAGATCTATTCCTGATAATGCATGACTTTAGCTGTGCGCTATGCCTGAATTGGTTATTTTAGCCGATATCGAGTACTTTCACGAACAGTTCGTATCACCAGACCGTTGAAGTAAAGATATGTTGAAAGATATGTTAGCCCCATGATCTTATTATTGTATTACGGCCTGCATGATTCTGCATCATGCCCTACTGATATTAGTAATGAGTTAGGGCCGTCGAATATATTGTTATTTCTACGGCCTGCATGATTCTGTCTTATGCTCCACTGGTCATAGTGATGGATGAGATCTAACATGTTTATTAGATTTATGTTTATTAAACGGTTAAGTGACGTTTAATTGTTTCTTTATATAAAAAGGGGTTCGATTACTTATAATTATTGGCTCAGCACAAATCGATCATTGTTAACATCTTATTGCCATTGATTAATATCTGTTCGATTAATGATATTTGCCCTGAATGATAACCGATTCTTCTTATACAACACAATAAGCTTTAATCGATTTATTCTTATAAATATGCTGGAATCGACTATTTAGTCGATCTCTTTTCATATCGGCTCTCATAGCCGTACATTCGGGACTGTCTGACAACATCGGCAAGTTCCGCTCTTAATTACTGATGAACTTTCTCTCCTTGTCAATTACAGGATCAAATTGACTGGCACGTCTCGGGAGGATTGCGTAGGATCGACCATTCCTGCGCTGAAGCTAGGCGGATCTGCTCCATCGAATTGACTCTTCTGGCTTGCTGCGTGTGTCCTCGGCACGGGACGAAAATTCTATGTCGACAATATAAAACATTTGAGTGAGAGACTATTTTTATTTCCTTCACTCCTTTACAGTTCCTTCACTCCTTTATAGTAAATAGATATGTTTCTGCATCTTTTCGTCTTTTGACCATTCCTTCACAATACTATCACTTTTTTAACATGTCGCTTATGCACTCCGTTGTGCTTAATGTGCAGGCCTGCAATGTCTACGGCAGTGTTACACTATATGACACCCTTGGTAAGTTTTTTTTCCCTGTAGAGCAATGAAAATTGTTCAGAACTATCATATTTACAAAGCAGTTGTCGAATCACATGTGTATAGTCACACGCACGCACGCATGTATAGGTCCTGCTCCTAATTTTTTATAATTTAGCCCTCTTTTAAAGAAAAAATATGTTTGGCTTCTTAGCAGACATAAACTCGTCTTTGGACTCTGGGGTCGGTGCCAGGACTCATGGCACCGAGGTAACATGTCTCGGCGCCATAGATTTTGGCTCCGAGGTGTCTGACCGTGCACAACAAGGCATCTAGGTGGCGTTGATGTGGCTGGTACTTCGACGCTAGAAAGGGGTGTAGAGACACAATTTTCACTCTCTCTATTTCTTTTTTCGAAACACCTAAAAACATAGACGTGACACACTCACCGTATAAACACATGCACACATATATACTATACTCATACTTTTATGAGCACTTCTAAATGATTGGACTGACAGATCTTGAGAGTGACCAAAAGTCACTATGTGCGCCTTGGCTTCGTTTGGCAGGGCTTCTCCACTAGCTTCAAGAGCTGTTTGGAGTCGTTTTCTGCCAAATGGGGTAAAGTGAAATAGCTTCACTGGTGAAGCCCCTAAAAACATGCTCTCACAATGATTTGGGGTGGGATGGAGCCAAAAAAGTGGCTTCTCTCGGCTCCTCCTCTAGACCCCTAAAAACATGCTCTCACAGGAAAGCTATTTTGTCAATCGGTTTACCAAAACCGCTTCAGCTCCACCGATAGAACTGTTCATGGAGCTGAAGCCAAAAAAAAATGGCTTCACTAGTAAAGTGAAGCCCTGCTAAACGGGGCCTTAATATCATTAAATTAAATACTGAAATAAATCAAGAAATACGAGCACGTGTACTTCCCTCCGCTCTTGCATACTACTTACGAGCTAGTCACGTGTGAAAGTGATGTACTTAGATCGACATGCCCACTTCTTGGCATTGGAAGTTTTGTTTACAGTTACGCTTATTGTTTACTAGAAGTACATTCTTATTGCCTCCTATATGTCTTTTTTCTTAATCTAAGAATAATACATGCCTTTTTTATTATGATAATCATGTATGTAATCACGTATTCCTTTAATTGTGCAGTTCAAATTGGTGTCCAAAAGTTACCTTAAAGAAGTTGAATGGTTTAGTCAAAACTACACCCCAAGCTTCAAAGAGCATATAAATTTCTCCATTACATCGACGGGTTTACCGATGCTGTCCCACGTGGCGCTCATGGGAGCAGGCCAGCTGGCAACCAAGGAAGCATTCGACTGGGCACTCGACGTACCTGACTTAGGGGTGTTTGGTTGCCCTCATAAATTTTAGTCGATGTCCCATCGAATGTTTGGATATATGCATGGAATATTAAATATAGATTAATTATAAAACTAATTACATAGTTTACGATTAATTTATGAGACGAATCTTTTAAGCCTAATTAGTTCATGATTTGACAATGTTTTGCTACAGTAAACATGTGCTAATGATGGATTCCTTAGACTTAAAAAATTTATCTCGTAGAGTACTAACGGATTATGTAATTTATTTTTTTATTAATATCCGAATATCATATACAACATTCTCTCGATACATCTCCTAAATTTTAGTCGCTGCATCAAACACACCCTCAGTTAAAGGAATGGCAGAGACCGGTCGCTTCTTCAATGACTTTTGTTCTTATTACAAGGTACTGCATATCCGATCCTTTCGTTCAAAAAAGAAATAATAAGGTACCGCATCCGATTCAAAAATAAGTATCTGCAATTCTACTTGGGCCTTGTTTAGATTGCCTTAAAATTCTAAGTTTTTTCACCCTATCTCCATCACATCAATTTTTGGACATATACATAGTGTATTAAATGTAGATAAAAAAATAACTAATTACACAGTTTAGTTATAAATCACGAGACGAATCTTTTGAGCCTAGTTAGTCCATGATCGAACAAAGTTTATCAAATACAAACGAAACGTGCTACAGTATCCGGATTACAAAAATTTGCAATCTAAACGAGGCCTTGCTATTTCAATGGTTCGAAATGTCGCCTCATCAGCATATAAAATTATACTGCACTCAGATTCAAATGTTAATGATACATTGGATTGTATGTGTAAAATGAAGTGGCCGGTCCCCGCGCTCCCAGCAGTTCTCTTGTATAAAAAGTATGAAAATTTATTGTGTTCTTTTTATTGGAGGGGTGGGGGTAATTTTCTATGCAATTTCTTGAGCTAGCCACTACCGCGGCAAAACTGAATATGACGTCAACAATAAGTTTGACACATCACAAACAAATTCATTACTTCTATTCAGGCCTTTAGCTAGACAATAAACATTTGACCTATCTTACAACTAGATATGAAAAAATGTTTCATTGTAATAACATGATAATTAAGCAAAAAGTAGCAGCTCGAGAGGATCAAGTACTTATACAACACTTGGGGAACAAGGATTTAAGGAAGAACTTACTAGGCAGGGCCTTTGAGTTTGGTGCCACAACAGGGGTTGATTGAATACTAGTTTACTTTTTTTAAAAAATTAAAACCAAAATAATATCAGTTCAGTGATTTTTAGAAACTAGTTTTTTTTTTGCTCTCCACTACTAAAAAGGGGATCAATTCAGTCAGCTGAAGATTAGAAAGAGCTCACCTATATTTGTTCATGGAATAAAACTTTAAGCATGGATTACTGTCCACCATAAATAATGTACTTACATGAAATTCTTATAATTTTCATCAATACTTAAACACTCATAAAAGTACTTTTTAAAAATTAATGTCACTTTTGTAAAAATAGCAACATTTTAGAATTTTGATTTGCTTTATCACTACCTCTATTCCAAATTGTAACTCACTCTTGGCTTTGGTGCTAAGTCAAACTTCTCTAACTTTGACTAATTCTATAAAAAAAAGTGTACCAACATTTATAATATCAAATTAGTTTCATTCAATCCAAAGTGTACCAACATTAATATCAAATTAGTTTCATTCAATCCACCATGCAATATGTCCTAATTAAGAGTGTACTTTAGTAGTGTAGATGCCAATATATATACTACTCCTATATGAACAGACGTTGTTTGCATGGTGTGATAGATCCAGCGTCTCTCCGGTAGTCCCGTCCCTCCTCTCTCTCTCTCTCATGGCGTGGTCCGGTGCAGTAACTAAACAAGTTGTGGTGGGGTGGAGGCTGGCGGGCATGAATTTTCATAGTCGACCCATAACCCTAAAGAATGTTGCGTCCGAAATGACCTAACTTTTTAGAGGCAGCCTCCCTAAGAGAATCGCATCTAAAACAATTGAGCCTACAACAACTGCCTCTGTAAATAAAACCCATTGTCTCTTTAAATTGTTTTTTATAATGTATAGTAAGTAAGTCTTTAGTACTTAAAGTCGGCAATTATCACTGAAATTTGATTCAGTACGTACGTTGGGTGCAAAATGATATTTCAAACAAGGATATACTATTATTATTATTGGCATTCATATAATATTGTGTTTATTTGATAGCATATATATCAAAATATTAAAGTTAGATCATCAATTGTTTATAATACATATATGTGTGTGAGTACAAAAGCAGAGGTCTGAAGAGCGGATGAGAGAGAGGGCAGATGAGCTCAAGGGGCAAGTGCGCCGGATGTTTGTGACCGGCAAAGACATGAGCATAGCTGACATGCTGAGTCTGGTGGACACGCTTGAACCATTTCCATGAGGAGATTGACATGGCTTTAAGCCGTATCCACAGTGAAGAGCAGGATTATTTTGACGGCTCCAGCGATCTGCATGTTGTTGCGCTCAGGTTTTGTATCCTTAGACAACATGGCTTCTGGGTATCAACAGGTATTGCTAACTCGCCAGTTGACATATTTCATGTTTTTGTTTGGTACCATATGTAAGTAATCAAAACTAGGGGTTCTAGCGTATGCTAAACTTGATGAGTTCACTTTTAAAATATACGTGCAACTAGATTTGACATGCATCTCCCAACTTGATGATTTTACTAGCTAAAATCTAAGTAAAACTTTTAAAACTTTGACAGGCAATACCTTCTCAAAAGTTTAATTCAGAAACATAAAAAATCATACTTTGACATTTGTCTTGAATGTACCTTGGTAATTCTCATGAAGCTTTTAGAATTTATTATAACTAGTCCATCAATCCATGTTGTCGCACAGGCTAAAATTCTAGAAGATATAAGTATTAAGTACTGTTTAATAATCCCTTCCTTTCAAATTATAAGATGTGTTGGTTTTTCTAGATTTTTTTTACTATATATGTATCTAGACAGTATATCTAAGTGTATAGTAAAAGCTATGCATTTAGAAAACTCAAAACGTCTTATAATTTGAAATGGAGGGAGTACATCTGACTAATAAAGAATTACTTATATTAAATTGTATGTTTTCTCTTTGTTTATTTTCTAATGTAATAGACATAATAGATCCTCTGTAGTCTATATCTAGTTATCATAAACTTATTAATTACTATTTTTTCAATGAACTAATCTATATTATTTTATCTATATTCACATTTTCTCTTTACATAGAACCTCTGTATATTTTAAATATGCAATTACTTTGAAACCTTACCATTAATTAGGGTGGCTCTTGTTGCATCATGTATTTTATGAAGTCATGAATCTAAATTTTATTTTTTTAAATTTTATTCTTATCGATTGCTACGGATTTTTTTCTCTCCTCAAGTTAAGTTGGAACTCTTGTTCTTATTGTATCTTTCATTCACTCTCATTTTTGCACTTTTTTAAAATAAGAATTTTAGGTCATAGAGTATATTCTTAAGTACTACAATACCATAAGCCATTATTTGAAAAACATGCACAATGTTGCTTAAGATAAGTCATAGAGCATGAAGTGAAATCTTGGATAGGGGTAGCAATGCAAACATCAAGACAATTTTAGTACTTAAACCATATAATGATCGACTTTTTACTCTAAAGTATACTTAAAGGGCCAAAAAAATATAGCCACCAGTGGTCTCCCACACTTCTCAAGATGACTGATTTTTTCTATCAAGGAATTATATCTGCAGTTATGATTATACTATCAATATAGACATGTCATGTGTTTTAGTTAAAATACATAAATATATCTAAAGTAACAATCTATATAAATTATATATTATGGTTACTAATATGCATGGTTTTTACTAATATGCATGGTTTTAAATTATTTATTAATGTCATTAGCATATGAATTGTTAAGAAAATATTTTTATGTGATGAAACATAACATATGTATCTTATTGCTCATGCATGTTGGCATGACGTATATATTTACTTTAACCAAATCTTACTATACAAATATTGATGGAGGTGGGGTATGTAGGAACATATATATGCTCTATTTGTTATCTAAACATTTTTTTTGTAATCGAAGATGTTAATAATTTAGATGTAGATTTGACGGAGTATTTGTTTTTTCTAACAATGAGATGAAAATTGAGTTATGTAAGTTATCGATCATAATAAGAGGACGTCGGTAATTAAATGCAAATTTAGGTATACTGTAGATCATGTTTCTTGATGACATATGTGCGTAATATAAATTAGAGTCATGAGTTTGTTTATATTGTTCGATACAATAGCAGAAGTAGGGAATTATTTAGAAAATACAATATATGTAATAGCTATTATTATTATCAATCGTGATTAGGTTATACTCAATTGATGGTAAGATGTTTCTGATTTTTATAATAATTTCTAGGATCTATCTTTTGTTTGGCTATCAAGTCTTGTGAAAATTAACGCGCAGGCTCCAGTGGAAACCTCTAGTTTGAATTTCTAGTATTCTTCTATTTTATGTGTAGATTGCAGAGATTTTTTTGTTTATTTTTTATAATGGCTAAGGTACATACAAATATAAAGGTAATATATTATATTATCTTTCACACCGACATATATAGATAGGTTAAATGCAAACTTTGTGTCGATGCGAAAAGTGACCAACATGTAAATATTTGTAGTTTTATCGTACGTTGTGATCGGATATGACCTAGCACTCAATGACACAGGGTTTATACTGGTTCAGGTAATGTGCCCTACGTCCAGTTTCAGTCGGTCGATGACTTTATTTTTGAGCCTAGGTGCTCGAAGTTTGTTGTGGGGTTACAAATGAGTGGGAATAGAAAGGGGGGTGTTAAAGGTCCGATCGGGCTCTGGACCGAAGGGTCAAGAGTGACGGGAGCTCCTACGTGCACTAAGTATTGGAACGTATGCTCTATGTAGCTTTAGAGTTTTAGAGCCGTAGAGTTGTTCGAATGCTCAGAATATCTAAAGCTTAGCAGAGAAAGAGAGTCGGAATCACCGTCCCCTGTTGGGAGAGAGCGCATCCCCTTTTATAGGTAAAGGGGTGGCCTTACAAGAGAGAGAGAGAGAGTGTGTGCTACCTAGTCTTGTTGCCCACGTCGTTGGGTATAAGACAGTTTGTCGGCGTCCACAATACTGTTGACGCCCAGATGCATGTGGCAGGCTCCATCATGTTCTTCTGGTATGGCAAATGTCGGCGCCTACCATACTGTAGAACAAATGACAGCGCCCATAACACTGTTCATGTGCTGACATGTCAGAAAGGTTGCATAGCACTCTTCTGGTATGGCCTAGCGGTACTGTCCTGCAGGTGTGTAGGGTACGGTCCTCGGTACTGCGGTTGACTTGAGCGCCTCGCCTTATCTGCTCTGCTTAATTCTTTGGTCCTCACCAAGCGGGCGTCCCTGATCGGTTGTTCCTGGTTGGTTCCGATTGTGTCGGTCGGAGAAGAGTTATAAGCAGAGGTTTCCCGCATTTCCGGTCGGAAAAGCGGATCGGAGTCGGAAGCGAGCGTCGTCCCCTCCTTGGCCAGGCCTTCCGGTCGGAGAAAAGCTGTAAGCAGAGGTTCCCCGCATTCCCGGTCGCAAAAGCGGGTCGGAGTCGGAAGCGAGCGTCATCCCCTCCTTGGCCAAGCTTTTCGTTCGGAGACTGGTTCGCTCTTTCGGCCTGTCGTTAGGTAACTGGGTCGGCCCAGGAGTCGCGCGTTGTTGTGATGCCGTCTGCTGGGCCGAGCCTTTGCTGGAAAGCGGGCCCATCGGGGACCCTGGGTTTATGAACCCGACACTTAGAATATTACTTTGCATTATCTTTCGTAGTGATAAAGGTGGATAATTTATAAAATCAATAGAAGGTATTTTAAATCATCTTTAATAAGGTAGATATGGGTAATTTAAATACATAGTTAGAGGACCATTTTAAATTATCTTTCATAATGACAAAGCTTGTAATTTAGATGCATTGTTAGGGGTTATTTTAATGGATAATTTAGGTGCAAATTTAGGGGGTTATTTTGAATTATTTTTCATAACAGTAGATGTGGATACTTTATATACAAATATAGAAGGTTATTTTGAATTATCGTTTGTAATGGTAGATGTGGATAATTTAGATGCAAAATTATACGGTTACTTTATGTATTTTTCACAATGGCAGTGGTCGGTAATTTTTTTAATAAACTACAATAGGTCTATTGGCTATTATCGGTGATGATGATTATAGTCTGCCAAATCAAAGGCTAGATGTTTCTGATTATTGTGAGAATTTCTAAGATTTATCTTTTTTTTCCTAGCGTGTCAGGTGAGAATTAACGTGGTGTCTTCATTGTGGCCTCTAATTAGTAATAGTAAAATAAGATTGTACTTTATATAAATTATCAAAGTTACATCATCTTAAAGACTATGATGAAACCTCAAAAGCATCAAGTATTTTTGACGAGAAGCTATATGACCTTCTAATGAATTTATATGCATAATATACAGATGGGTTTGACAAATTCAGAGATGCCACAGGCAATTTTAGCATGGATTTAGCAACCGATACCAGGGGACTACTTAGCCTGTACAACGCAGCTCATATGGCAGTTCCTGAAGAGGTGGCCCTAGATGATGCCATAGCCTTTGCGAGGCGGCACCTCGAGGCTGCAAAAGACAAGCTCAGGTCACCGATGGTGGAGCAGGTATCCCGCGCCCTTGAGATCCCGCGCCCTCGGTTCTTGCGACGGCTGGAGGCCATGCACTACATCACTGAGTAAGAGCAAGAAGAGGCGCACAACACTACAATTCTCGAGTTGGCGAGGATGGATTTTAATATCGTCAGGTCTCTCTACATCAAGGAGCTCAAGAACCTCTCCTTGTGAGTACTCCTACACATGTACACATCCCAATGCAACGATGATTCTTGTGCCCTTAAGTCATCTAATCGTTTGTTTTCTTAGCTGACAATATGTTAATATGACTAATTTCATCACAAGGTGGGGGAGGGATCTCTACAACGATTTGAAGCTTACCTATGCTCGGAATCGCATCGTTGAAACACATTTTTGGACTAGTGGAGTGTTCCCCAAAGAGGAGAACTCTCGTGCACGAATCATACTCGCCAAGGTGTTTGTAGTTTTTACCCCAGTGGATGACACATATGATACTCACGCCACCTTGGAGCACTGCCAGATATTCACCGAAGCTATAGAAAGGCATGCTAATTTTGCTTATTTTCTCGTTAATATATCTACTACACGGGATATAAACTGTCACTTATTTTCCTCTTTTTGCGTGCACACACACCTTAATTAATTATATTACACTAGACCATCAATCTGTGCTTCAGCATAGCCTAGAATCTTATGTTACATGTATACTGCAAGTTTCATGAATATACATAAAATTAATCAAAAAATACCATCTTTACTCTATGTCTTTATTCATATCCTAAAACAATATCCGTTTGTATATTCTATAACCTCTATCCGATTTTGATAAATGTTACCAATTAGTTTTTATGTGTTTCCATCCTTCACATTGCACCTCCGTGGGTTTTAATATATATTTAGTTGAAATCTTAGTAAGTTATATTAGTTCTTATTGCATTCATCTTTGTGACATCATGAATTTAGATTTCGGCTTTCAGCTTTTCATCTTATTAGTTGTTGCATTTTTTATATCCACGTGTTAATTTCAAACATAAATAATTATTGTCTCTTCTATACAAATTTTCATTCTAAGTTCGAGACTCCACTCTTAGTTACTACACCTCAGCACTAAAGATGAAACAATTGTTTTAACCTACACCTCAGCACTAAAGATGACCAATTTCCACTATCAAATAATTAAGTCTTCATTAGTATTGTTTCATTTTCATAGAGCTTTAATCTAATTTGAAATAAGTTGTAAGTGTCACTATTCTGCGTTTTCTTAAAGGGACATTTTTTAAGAGATCAATAAATTATAAATATATACTTATTGTTAATTTATATAGTATAGTATACACATGGTGACACTAATAAACATTTATGTTTACTTTCAATTCAATAGTGGTATAATTGGCTAATTTAGAAATATATATAGTCTACTTTATGGTTATTTAATTCCTTTCTAGAACGACTTATAGTCATAATTTAAATATAGATTTATAGGATATTTTCATTCATGTTTTATATTGGTATCTAAATATGGATTTTAAGGAAATTTAGTTTACTTTTTATTCCTGCAAAATTTGTGTATGTAATTTAGATACAATTTAAGAGATTCCTTTATATTATCTTTCATAAGGATAGATCTATGTAATTTACAAGCAAATTTAGTGATTGCTTTGTGTTATCTTTTATAATGGCAAAGGTGAATAATTATTTAGTTGCAAATTTAGTGGTAACTTTACATTATCTTTCATATTGGTAGAGATGAGTAATTTATATACAAATTTACGAGTTAGTTTTTAATATCTTTGATAGAGTAAAATGCACCAACATGCCCTAAACTTGGCAGAGGCTATCATCTAGGTCTCGAAACTCCTAAAAGGCACATCCAGGTCGTACTTGGCACATAGTACGTCTCAAGTCCAGATCCAGACTAGACCTGTTTGCTGACGTGGCAGTCCACGTTGGCACCAACGATGCTAGATCAGCCCCTAAACTTGGCAGTATGTCATCTAGGTCCCTAAACCTTCAAACTGCACATCCGCATACATGAACTGGCCCACGATACACCACAGGTCCGGTATCCGTATTTGTCTTAGTGTCAATATGGATATTCGTATTTGTATTCGATTTTAATCTGCATACAAAGTGGAGTATCCGTATTCGATTTCTATAATTTTTCTCTATCTGATTCTGTATTCATATTCTAAAAAAATGTCAAATACCCAACATTATCCATATCTGTAAATAATAAAGTACCCTTAAAAGTTAAAGTACCCTTTAAAGTCATCTAAAACTTAAATCTATGACTAATTAATAATGTAAATAATATCAACTTTAATAAAATAAAAATGCATCATTTAAACTATAATAATGATATTATTAATGATATATAAAAGTTAGTTTTAATATGGATAATCATATTAATTTTATGTACTTTATTTTTTCATATAAATTGGTGAAATTATTTTTATATATTTAAACTAATTATTGATAAATATTATTTATACTTTTATTGATTTTTTATATATTTAGTTATTGAAATGTTTATTATATATGTTATTTCTATATTCTAAACTATGTATGTTGATGTGCATTTTAAAAGTTTAAGGACCTAGATGACACACTCTTTCAAGTCGTTTAGGGGCTGGTGTGACATCGCTAGTGCCAGCATGGTCCGCCACGTTAGCAAATGGGTCTAGTCTGGACCCGTTTGGACCTATGACGTACAATGTGCTAATTTTAAGGACTTAGATGTGCATTTTAGGAGTTTGAAGGCCTAGATGACACCTTTGCTGCTGGTGCATTTTACTCTCTTTGATAATGACATAGGTGGATAATTTAGATGTAAATTTAGGTTTTACTTTATGTATGTTTCGTAATTGTAATTGTAGTATAGGTAATTTTTAATTAGAAAACATAATGTAGCTATAACACCCTAAAATTGCCTATTTTGAAATAGATGTAAATTGAGGTAATTTTGAATTTTTGTGCTCATGAAAACATAGAGAAATAATAATTTTTCATTAAGTAAAATTTATCATAGGGTGTAGAAACATTTGTGATGCATTCATGCCACTACATATGATTTGTTTGGGTGAGTGGTTGACTCAAAATCAAAATGAATTAAAATTTTGCTTTTGAAAGGTTTTGAAATGGCTATAAAATAAAAGAAAAAACATCCTTCTCTCTTTAGGCCCATGGCCTCCTTTCTCTCCCCCTCTCTTTTTTGGCCTAACTTGAATAATGAATATGGAACAAAAAAATAAATAAAATATGATTAAATTTATTTTAGTTTCTTAATTTCAAATATAATTTGATTTAATTCCAATTGGATATTTCTTTGAAATATCTTATATATGCTTTTATACAGTTAAAATAAATGAAGCTAGTAGTTTTCTTTATCTCCTATAAAGTAAATATTTTGGAAGATGTTTTTTTTTGCACCGTAGTTCCGTTTAGCGTGCTTCTCGTGTCTGTGTGTTCATAGCAACGTATCGAACATCTTTAAAACCTTTTCACTCGTTGTTTTATATGTTTGGTGTACTGTTCTAATTTAGTTCTATTGTTTGCTTCGTGTATGATTACATGGATGTTTGTGTGGTGCTTTATGAACATGTCTAGTCGGTGAGCTATACGCGGTGAATCAAGAAGTAGATCTTTGAAGATTTGGAGCAGAAGAAGATCAGAGTTTTAAAGCAAGTATAGCATGGGATCTTTCTTGTTGTCCTATTCACTTTAATAATTTAATCATATGCATGTGTCTACCTTGGCATCCGTAATAAGTTTCCTAGCTATTTAATATCCTTGATTCCTTGTTACCTATGGGGTATTGCTTTGGGTAGTATGATGCTAGTGCTCAACTACAATCATGATCTTGTAATTTGACTAATGGTATATGTAATAAACACTAAAAGATGCTTTTTAGCAACATGGAACAAGGGGGCTAGAGCATTGGGTTATTTTATGGTGCTCTAGATTCCTCTTCCTAAGGACTTATCTATAAGCAAATATTCAGGACTTACAGTACAGCTGTGAGGGCTACATGTCTCTGGCTTTAGCTCAGTATGAGGACCTTTTCTAGCTTGTTACTGGTTACCATTATTGAGCAAGAGGGGCTCCGACAGGTATGATCTCGGCCTGCCAAGAGGGTGCACTTTGGTTTCTTGGTATTTTGTTAGTCACTCCTTGGAGGGTGGTTCATGCTTATTGATGGGGAAACCTTAGCGGCCCTAACTTGTTAGACGAACCTTTAGAAGGCTTCATAGTGAACCCTGCCGACCTTCCTTGGTAGTGGATCAAGAGGTTGCCCACCTCAGGCGAAGGGTAAATCACGAATCACAGTAAAAGTGTACAACCTCTACAGAGTGTAAAACTGTTATAATAGTCGTGCTCACGGTCACGAGTGGCCTTGGAACCCTTACGAAATAGATGATGAACACCGATGATAAAGATGCTCATTAATGATTACTATTTATGCTATTCATTATTCATGTTTATCTGATCATGTGTTTATATGGGCTTGTGAATAAACTTGTTGCCACCCAATTGCTAAAAGATGACTCATTAAAAGCTAATCGCAGTTAAACCAATTCAGCCTTTTGAGCCTCATGAACCCCATGATATATTTGTTGAGTACGATATGTACTTACGCTTGCTTTATTTTTCAATTATTTGATAAAAATCCCGGATGGGTACCAGATTGCTAGAGTTTGGAGGAATTAGGCTTGTGATGAACCAGTCAGTTGTCCCTGTGGAATTAGAGTTTTCACCCGAAGATCGGAGTTGTCTTTCCGTTGTCTACTACCTAAGGTTGTATTCTTTATACTAAGTACATTATATATTAAGCATTGTCTATTGATATTACCTTTATTTGTAGCTATATGTGAGATTTGACTTCCTGGGCTCACATATGGTGCTTATCTGGTTTTATCTTAAAACCGGGTGTTATAAAGTGGTATCAGAGCAATGTTGACTGTAGGATGCAAGCCTAGTATAAACTGGTCATTCTAAGGTTTAGAAGTTGCTACAAAAATCCTTTCTCTATGAACCTTGATATTTTTTCTCTACTATATCTCTACCATTGCTATTCATCTCTGCCTTGGTGGTATTTTAAAGTCTTT